TAAAAAATTAGGAAGTTGTACGTCACATGAAATCCTTTTTATTTTACATTTCATTTTACATGATTTCTGAAAAAATCTGTAATTGTTTTTTGTTTTGTGTTGGTAACACCCATAGAGTGTACAATATTTCACACTTTAAAATCTCCAATATCTCTCGTGAAGACAAGCCTTGTTTACGAAGCTCAATAGATTTGGCCTTATCTTTAAAGGAGAGGACTGACCTCTTCCTGCCTTCCATTTCATTTAATTTTTAATACAATGCTTGATTTTTACTCAGAATACATCAAAAAAGCAGATCTTAGTGTACATGTAAACATTCTAGGGCTAAAGCGCAAGACTGACCACTTGATAACCTCGGGCGAAATCGTAATTTATGTATTGAGTTTATATCATGAAAATATTCTACACCTTACTTTTGTATATAAAGAACAACACAAAACAGTTGTTAAAAATGAAAAAAATTATCTCATTAAATCCTGGCAAAATTTAAATTACACCCGCAATTCTTCAACATTACTCATTATCAGCTGTTTATGTTATAATGTTTGGCTTCTCTATGGGGCTACAAGATCACATGTCAGACGGAGGTCATGTGACAAAACAGACAAAATGGCCATTGAAAACAGGCATGTTGAGAGCATGGGACCTAAAAACACTGGCCACTGGCTGGGTTAGACAGGTGGCTGCTTAAATGAATTAAAATACAGTGAAAAAATGAACGGGCAGGATTGAAACTGGCCGCTCATGGGGAGTGGCCGCTGATTAAGGGTGGCCATAGCAGCAGGTGGGACTGTACATATAATTTATACATTTTTTTTTTCATTATTAACTACTAAATGGCACACCCATCTGCATGAGACAAGATTCCAAAAGTCTGTTCTATTATCTTACACTAAAACGACAAATAGCATTAATGTAAAAATTCTCCTCGGCTTTGTTTGATGTAGCAATACATGTATAATATTATACATACATATTTCTTCAATGAATAAACTGAACCTCCTTGTATTAGTCCTGTGCGGGCACCTGATGAAAATTATACCTGCGTATTGGAATTCAACAAGAAAAAAAAATTAGTATTAAGTTCGTTGACACTGAATCTTAATTTTGTCCATACTGCACCAAAAATTTGGGTCTGCAACCGCCTTTTCACATTGTCAAAGGAAAGGTCTTGTCTCGAGGAATATACATGTGAAATATGAAAGACCTAAAACAAACCATTAAAAAGTTATGGCAAAGGTTAAAGTTTTTTCAAAGTAAGTAAAACGGCAATGTCAAGGTCAAATGGTGCCCAAAGGAAGGTCTTGTCACAAGTGATACATATGTACATGAAATGTGAAAGCCCTAGAACCTAATGTTCAAATGTTATGGCCAAGGTTTAAATTTTTTAAATATAGGTCAAACTCCAAGGACAAGGTCAATGTAAAAATTGTTGGTATCCAAAGGAAGGTCTTGTCACAAATAATATAAATATGAAATATGAAAGCCCTAACACCAACTGTTCAAAAGTTATGGCCAAGATTAAGGTATTTCAAAAGTAGGTCAAACTCCAAAGTCAAGGTCAAAGGGTCAAAATTGATGGTATCAATAGAAAGGTCTTGTCACAAGAATTACATATGTGAAGTATGAAAGTCCTAGCACTAACTGTTCAAAAGTTATGGGCAAGGTTAAAATCTTTTAAAATTGAAATAGGTCAAACGTCAAGGTCAAAAGGTCAAAGTTGTTGGTATCCAAAGAAAGGTCTTATCACAAGGAGTACACATGCTAAGTATGAAAGACCTAGCACAAAGTGTACAAAAGTAGTATCCAAGGTTAAAGTTTTTTCAACAGTAGGCCAAACTCCAAGGTCAAGGTCATAGGGTCAAAGATGTTGGTATCCAAAGAAAGGAGTTGTTATAAGGAATACACATGTGAAGATTGAAAGCCCAAGCTCCAACTGTTCAAAAGTTATGGCCAAGGTTAAAGTCTCAAAAAATTTTGCAAAAGTGTGTCAAACTCCAAGGTCAAGGTCAAAAGGTCAAATATGATGGTACCAAAGAAAGATCTTGTCACAAGGAATACATGTGTGAAATATGAAAGCCATAGCTTCAACCAATTAAAAGTTATGGGCAAGGTTAAAGTTTTTGCACACAAACAGACAGACAGAAAGACAGACAGACAGATGGACAAGGCAAAAACTATATGCCCCCAAATCTTCGATTACGGGGGCATAAAAAAGGGGGGAGAATCAACTCATCTAAATTTATTTAGGAAAAAAGTTTTGGGAAAAATGTTACTGCAAATGCTTAAATAATTTAGGAATAAAATGCTTTCTTCATTATATTTAGACAGGGTGTGAAACTGTAAATAAATTGATAGGATATGACCAATAAAATATAATATACCCTATGTCGGAATTGCAGTGGCAAAAGTGCAAGTCTGAATTCCTAATATAAATGAGGGAAAAAATGTTTACTTAGTGATATTAATGCAATAATTTTTCAGTATTTGTAGAAGCACCTAGCATAAATGATATACAAAGTGGGAAAACTATCAAATGAATATCGCTCTGCCGGCACGCCTTACTTTTAATTTATAATGATGAGTGATTTCCCTGGGAAAATTAGGTCAGTTCTTGAATACTGTAATTTGGATAGCCTGTTATAGATCGATGCAACTTACTTGCTAACTAATAAAATTTTGTTCAGATTGGTGGAAAATCATTTGCAGACGGGGTTTTGATAAATTGTTGTATCACTGAAAAATCTCTCAACTTCTGACGAAACTTCCAAAGGATTGAAAAATTTGTGTAGGAAACCCTATCATTTTCCAAAGGAGGACTCTCGTGGCAGCCATTTTTGTGTTGAGTTGACTTCTGAGACAGCTACCTAGCAATCTCAGATATTTTGAGAAAAACTCAAGAAAAAACTCTATTAGAGTAAGACTCAAGTTTCATGGCACAGTTTATTGAGTTCAACTCAGTGATTTGAGAAAAATTCTCAGATTTTAGTAAAATACAGCCCTTGAGTTCGACTCAAGACGTTCATGGCCCTGGGGCCAGGTCCTCTGAACTCTGTTACATTTTTAGCAGTAGTCATTATTTTGGAACATGATTGGGAGTGACCTGTAAATGTGCAATAAGCTTTCAGAATTTCAATTTTCCCCCAATTGGGGCAACAAGGTTTAAAAAATTCAATGTGCACCCTGGGAGGAGGGCAATTTAGGGTGATAAAACTATGTTTTTCTACAAAAACCTTGTTCCATGAACTCTTACATTTTTTCACAGTAGCCCACTCATCTTTTACAATATGATTCGGAGTGTCCTTTAGATGTGCAATAGGGTTTAAGAATTTTGATGTTCATTTCTTATCATAAAGATACAAATTGATGAGAGCAATTCAACTGTGTCATGATTTCTTAAGAGCATTCAAGCATATTAAGAGAATTTTATTCACATATAAATTTGCAACATGAACTTAGAACAAGGAGGCTATGTGTTTGATAGATAATAGGATGAAACAACACTAATCTTTATACCATGGTACAAATTACATGTACAACAAAACTGTACTAAAGATGTAAGTCATGTATATGAAAAGGAAATAAAAATTATTCCTTCTTTCACTATTAACTAAAAACAAAGGAGCAAGGTAGGTTTCTTTTTATTTTGCAATACAAATGTACCTTCTGTTCGGCAGGTCATTCATGTCCTATGGACATATTTTAAATACTTATGAATATCTAGCAGCCAAAGTGTTTACATGATTATTATTAAGCTATACAGTAAATACAGTAAAAATCAGTTATAACAAAGTCTCTGTGACCCCTGAAATTACTTTGCTATATACGTGTTAGAATTTCCTAAACTGTATATAAGGTGGAGATTCAAGGAAACTTCTTCAATATCCATGTTTGAACTAAACAAGATTTACTGTGGTTCCATGTACTTTGAATCTGAGTTCAGACCCCTGCAGGAGCTAAATTTGTTTTTTTTATTGTAAAATAGATTAAACATAGACAATCTTCTTTATTCCTTGACTTCTAGCAGGCAAAATGTTTGCTTGATTATAATGAGCAGTTTTAAAAAATTGTTTAATTCAGGGTTCAGGCCCCAAGATGGGGCTTTGTTTATCATACATTTGAACATGCACCAAACCTTTTAAAATGTTTTCATTTACTGGGAATCTACCAGACAAATTAGCTGCAAAATGATGTAGACGTATGAAATTGATTTCCCCTCAATTCAGAATTTCAGCTCCAAGGTAAGGATAAAGTCAAACTCAATATCTTGATGGAACAAGGAAAAAAACTGAGATATCAAAGGGTTTTAGAAATTGAAGAAAAAAATACATAAAGTAAACTTTGTTTGGACTTCTAATTCACTTTGACATATCCATGTAATTCAAAATATTGATGTTCAATATACTAAGGTTCAACTTAGACATAGAGCGAATCTTTAGCCTCCTTTTTAAAATCTTATTCCTTGATAATCGTCAAACAGATTGATGATAATTGAAAATAAGTTACGAGCCCTGTAGGAATTTGTGAAAAATGCATTCCCAGGGTAAAGGGATAAGGTAAAGTTGGGCATCCAGGAGAGAAGCTCCTTACAATATGTGATAATGAACATGAGAGTCCAATTTCATGTCAAATGATTGCAGAGACCAATGTCATGTCACAAGATTACAGTTTCAGTGTCTGATAGGGCTGACTTGATCTGATCATATATATCATGATACTGTGAAATCCATAATTTCCATGGGGTTTTAATTTTTGTTGTTTTCATGGTATGAAGAGACTGATGAATTGTGTCCTCCACAAATGTAAAATTTCAAATAACACTTCAACCATAAAATCAAATTACCATGAACCAATATTTTTATGTCAAACCATGAAAATTTGACCTCACAGAAATGTGATTTTACAGTACTCAGGAGACTCTTATAGGCCTATGGGCTTCTTTATTTTTATCTTTCCTATAAAGTATCTTGAAATTCTAACTTGTTGATTTGATCCTACAGATAGGTGTGAACTTGATGCAAGAGACCAAGTGGAGAAGATCCAAATGCTTTTCATTGATGCAATCCAATATTTGCTAAATATGAGAGTCAAAGATGATAGTGGAGTACATTTCTCTAAAATAATGAATGTGTTTTTGAAGTTGAGGGAGATGAATGAGGAGTTTCTAACATTTTATAAGAAGATGTGTGAGGACCCAATGATTCAGAAGTATATGCCAGAATTACTTCATTTCCTGATAGAATAAAATGTTCACTGCTTAATACATGTATATATACCCTTTTACCTTACCTGAGCTGAAAGCTCAACTGATCTTTCCTGATAACATTTTGTCCAGCATCTGTCTGTCCATCTGTCCATCCATCTATAAACCTTTCACATTTCTGACATCTTCTCTGGAATCACTGGGCCAATTTCAACCTAACTTGCCACAAAGCACACTTTGGTGAAGGGGTTTCGGATTTGTTCAAATGAAGGTCCACATCGTCTTTCAAGAAGAGATGATTAAGAATTAGTGAAAATTTGGTAGCATCTTTTAAAAATTCTCATTTCAAGAACCACTGGTCCAGAAAAGTTGAAACCTTCATTACATGGTGTAAATTCAAGTTCGTTTAAATCATGACCCCCGAGGTAGGCTGGGTCCACAATGGAGGTTCTACATAGGACCAAATAGGAAAAATTTTAAAAATCCTCTACTCAAGAAGAGCAAAAGTATGATTAGTCACATTGATATGGAAACATCGTTATTCTAGTTTGTTCAAATCATGATCCTTTGGGGTAGGATGGGGCCAAAATAGTGAATCAAAATTTTACATAGGAAGAAATAGAAAAAATCTTTTAAAATCTTCTCAAGAACCACAAAACCATGATTAATCTTATTGATAGGGAAACATCTTCACTTACTGAAGATTCAAGACTGTTGAAATCATGACCTCTGGGGGTAAGGTAGGCCACAGTTGAGTTGCCAGGTTAAAGTTTTACAAAGGAAGAAATAGGAAAAAGTCTTTAAAAATCTTTTCAAGAATAAAAAGTCATGATTAGCCATATTAATATGGAAACTTCCTCATGTAGTTCAAATTTTAGTTTGCCCAAATTATGCCCCTGGGGATAGGATGTGGCCACAATGGGGGATCAAATATTTACATAGGGGGAAAAATAGGAAAAATCTTCTCAAGAATAGCAAAGCCATGTTTAGTCTTATTGATGTGGAAGCATCCTCAGGTAGAGTAAATTCAAATTTGTTCAAGTCATGACCCCCAGGGATGGGATAGGGCCACAATTGGGGATCAGAATTTTACATAGGAATGTATAGAATAAAATCTTTAAAAATCTTCTTTTGAAAAACAACAGTCATTATGAGTCATATTGACATGGAAGCATTCTCAGGTAGTTTTATTTATTTTAAGTTTGTTCAAATAATGACCCCTTGGGGGTAGAGTGGGGCCAAAATGGGGGGATAAAAGTTTGATATAAGAAGAAATAGGAAAAAATCTTTAAAAATCTTCTTCAAGAACATCAACGTCTTGATTAGTCATATTGATATTGAAACATCTTCAGATAATGTAGATTCAAACTTGTACAAATCATGACCCCTGGAGGTAGGGTTTGGCAACAAGGTGGATCAAAGTTTTACAAAGGAATATATAAGAAAAAATCTTTAAAAATCTTCCCAAGGACAGCAAAGCCATGAATATTCATGTTGACATGGAGTACATTCAAGTTTCTTCAAATCATGACCCCCACACCCACCCCCTGGAATAGGATGTAGCCACATTTTTAAAAATCTTATCAAAAATAATTGACAAAGAATATAGAGGAGAAAATATTGGCTGATGAAGACCCTCAGGTCCATTTTGATTCGGGTAGTGTTGAGGCCCAAGGGCCTCTTGTTTAATTTACACAACATACATGGTCACAAATTTTCCACAGACATTTTTCACTGTGCATTTAAGATATACAATGTCAATCCAAGAAATCCATGTATTTTTCAATCTGTTGATTGAACAGAAGCTGTGATTCTTCTGCTTTATTGAATAACCCTTTTGAAAAAAGTATGTCTTGGACTGGTGTGTGGGTGTGTATAAATATATTTACACACAAGTATTTTATATTTTTTATTAACATACATTCCATTTGTTATCTGTGATATTTATTCATTAAAAGAATAAGAGTGATCTTTTACAAAAAGTTAAACAATATAATTATCTATTTTGTACAAAGTTTTCTCTCTCATATTTTTTTTTTATTTTACCTGACCCAGAGGTTAATGGGTACTTTTTCTTCTGATCAAAATTTGTTCATCAAATGTTTGGTCTATTTACCTTTTAGCTCACTTCATTGAAGTTGGTCACGTCAACAAAGTTGGAGGAGCTTATGTAATACTGTATCCTTGTCGCCCCAGATTAAAGTTTTTGGAGTAGATTTGTTTTCAGGTACCTCCATGCCCTATATTGATCAGAAATGCATAGACAATGCTTCTAGTATGTTTCTTTGAACCATTCAGGTTTAAGATGCTTCATTTTCAACCAAAGAATAATAAGGTTAATATTTTTGGGTAGGTTGAAGTTTTGGAGAAGGTCTCATTTCCAAGTTACTATATTGACCAAACTTGCAGGGATGATGCATCTATGAATGCACACTTCTGGACTTGCTTCAGATGCTGGATCAGACCTAGATTTTCCAAATGAGTGATTAGGTTAAAGTTTTTGGAGCAGATTTCATTCTAAAATAACTACATGTATATCCCTATGCTAACCAACCTTGCAGTTTTGATACATATAAAGAAGCAATCTACCAGATTTGCTTCAGATGCTTGATCTACCTATATTTTACGAATGCATAAACAGGCTAATTTTCTTGGACCAGTTCCATTTCAGGGACCAGTTCCATTTCAGAGAAACTATAAGTCCTACCTGAACCAAACTTGCAGGCATGATGCATCAAGGGATACAAAGTACAAGATTTGCTGATGTTGGATTTTACTTACATTTTCCGGATGAGTGACCAGATTAAAGTTATTTGAGCAGACCTATTCTACAGTAACTTCAATCCCTATCTAGACCAAACTTGCATGGATTTTGCATACTACTAGACTTGCTTATAATGCTAGATTTGACCTACATTTTCTGTTAAAGTTTTTGGAACAGGCTCATTCCAGTATAACTTCAAGCCCTACCTAGACCAAGCTTGCATGGAATTTGCATCTAGGAATGCTCACTATCAGACTTGCTTCAAGTGCTTGATATGACCTACATTTTCCAGTTGAGTTTGCCAGGTACATTCAAGTGTAAATTAAAGCCCTACCTAGACCAGACTTTGATGGATGATGCCTATATGGGATTCACACTACAAGACTTGTGTTGGATGCTGGATATGACCAACATTTTCCTAGATGAGTGATCAAGTTAAGGTTTTGGAGCAGGTTCATTCCAGTTTTAATATTAAGCCCTTCATAGAGTAAACTAGCATTGATGATACATCTAGGGATGCATGATACCTTACTTACTTCGGATGCTGGATCTGACCTGTAGGCTTTCCTGGATGATTGAAGTAAAAGTTTTTGTTTGAGCAGGTCTATTTTTAAGTAACAGTAAGGTCTCTATGGACCAAACATGTATGGATGATGCATCAAGGGATGCACACAAACATACTTGCTTTGAATGCTAGATCTGACCTGCATTTTGGTGCATGAATGACCAGTTTAAAAGTTTTTAGAACAAATCCATTCCCAAGTAACCTCAAGCCCTACCTGGACCATATTATTTGCGTAAAAATTCTATAAATATTGCATCTAGTGATTACACACTACTAGATTATTACTTTAGTGTGGGACTAAAAAACAACTACAAAAAAAACTATAAAAAAAACAATAATGAAAGCAATGTACAGTGTAAGATATGGTCTTCATGTACTATTGGGTGGATGTGTGTGTTTTGTTTTGTTTTGTTTTTTTGTTGTTTTTTTTTTTTTTTTTTTTTTTGCTATTAATTATGTTAATTAATATAGAACAGTATTTATGTGGGTAATTGTTATACAACATAAAATTGATTGTTCTATTGTGCAAGATGTTTGTTTTTTACTGTTTCTTGCAAGAAAGTCTTCTTGACAATCATAATCAATTCCATTCAATTTTTTCTCTCAAAACCATGTTATAAACATATAAAAACATACATACATATAATACAGTGGGTCAAGCAAAAGGTGAGATTAATTAAGCTAGCGAAGGAAAACAGACCATAATATTAATTTTATTAATATATGTACAAATTTTTTTCAAAGAATCAACATTATTTTGGCACATGACTTCACAAAACTTCATAGTATTTTGGTTAGAAAAAAATTTTTGGTTCAAAAAATCTTTCCTTAATTGCTTTAAAGCACTACATTGTAAAATATGGTGATATTCATCTCCTGTCTGATTGCTATTGCATGAGCTACAAAATCTTTCATTTCTTTGAGTACCAATCTACTTGTTTCAATTGGAAGGTGATGTTTGTGGTTCTAATTTTAGCAAAAGTGTTTCTAAATTTACATGATAACAGAATTAAATATTTTTTGCACTTAAAATTGGTTATAAACATTCAATAATTTAAACTTTTAGAAGATCCTAAATTTCACTTTAATCAGTGCATTGTTACAACGCGAAATGTAATAACAACGCAAAATGTAATAAACCGGGATTATTGCATTTTGCGTTATTACATTTTGCGTCTAATTACATTTTGCGTCGATATCAACGCAGAATGTAATAACGCAAAATGTAAAAGCAGACTTTTTAGCTATAGGATCATTTCATTTTGCGTTATTACATTTTGCGTCGAGATCAACGCAAAATGTAATAACGCAATATGTAATATCACGATTTTTGGATTATTACATTTTGCGTTGTTACATTTTGCGTCGAGATTAAGCAAAATGCAACAACGCAAAATGTAATAACACACTTTTAAGTCAGTCAGGTTGAGAATACTTTCAATTGAGTAGTGAAGAAAATAGATGGAAAAATAAAACAAAAGGAAAATAAACATATGCTAAGTGTCTCATTAGATCTGATTTCATCATATATTGATTTCATTAGCCATTTAAAATCAGTTGATACCTTTATCATAGGTATTGCAAATTATAAATGCGCGTGCTCACGTATTGGGGGGGGGGGGGGTATTTCGCTGATCAGTGTATCAGTTTACTTTTGCTTTTTGATAGGCAGATGCCTGAAATTTAGAAAAGAAATCTATTTATTTTTACTGGCAGATGTAGATATAGCGGGAAGGGGGTTTCTTGACAATTAAGATTTGATATTGTTTTACAAATCATGTGCATTGCAGACCAGCAAAAATAAAATTCTCTCTCTCTCTCTCTCTCTCTCCAACAATAAAATGGATAGTTTCTGCATGTGCATAAAAATACAATGATCAACATACGAGTAGCCCTACCCCCGCTTCTCCTTGCTAGACACACACACACATGCGTTACTTTGCTAACCAATGTACACATGCACGTCGCACATGCATATCAAAAGTTTTTAATGGACCCATGGTCAATCTTTGGTTATTAAGAATGTCAGTGATGGATACATAATACAGATTGATTTAGAAA